CGGACATGGTCAGGCCGTCCAGGTCGACCTTAATAACTATTGACCGAAAAACTGCGATTGACCCTAAGCAATGTTGACGTTTCAATCATTCCTTTGGCCGGTGCTCCTTTCCACCCCGCTTCGATCCAGAAGGATGTGGCAGAAAGAGGGCGCTGGCCCTAATTCTGTGCCGGCCTGTTGTACTACTTCCCACATTCGCTGTAACTTAGCTTAGCACAGATGCTAGTGTCCTACTAAACCAGTGCCAAAAACGTGCTGGCGTTAAACGTGAGCTAATTGGTGCCAAACTATATTTCGACGTCTCTGATGATACAAGGTGTGGTTTATTACCACAGTATAGCGGTAGTTCAGCTAACCAGTTGGTTTCCATGTGCGCCTGCGGGAGTACTGTCTGGATAATGTTTACTCTCATGTCACTGAGTATGTTTGTACTTGTGAGTTGTCTTCAACACGCACACCCACAGAAAAGGGAAACACAAGGCAAGGATAAACCTTGAGTGGACTTGATGCTAAACAACAATCATAATTCTGAGTCACATGACTCACAGGAAGCGGCGTAACCATATTCGGCATAACCATATTTGGCCATGACGTCACTATTCTGCACTCGGATGACAGCAGTCAGCAACTTATAAATAGCGTTTAGCTTCCTGTGCGCTATATTGTCCTGTAAGCTACACCGCTATTGTTTTGTTGGCAATCGAAACAACTAGACACCATTTTAGCTATATCTGCACGAGCTAGTACATGCATAGAAAGATAAAAAATAAGTAAAAATATCTTTTCACAATGTTGGTACCAATCAATTAGTTGTGTGTGAGGAATCCGACGATTTCAGACTGTCCTTGAGACAATACCTGACCCTGACCCCTTGGGTAGAGAGACAGACTCACACCGAACAGCATTTTGTAGCATTGGCTCTATAGTATAAAGTACATTAAAATATCATAAACATTCTAAATGAAAATGCATTGGCTGATGCAGCACATGGTATAATAAATAAAAAATATGTAACACTATAAAGGGTGCATTGACAGATTCAAGATATATCATATTTTTGTCTGAGTGTTTCGACACATTTTTAAGTTACAGCTAAAAAAAGTCACATTTCACAGATTCAGTCCAGTAAATATTGTTTTCTGTTTGTTTTACAGAAAGAGTTAAAAAATTAAAAAAATATGTGCAACAAATGCACAATTGGACAGCAAAAAATATAGATTAAAAAAAATACAAGAAATGCATTCACTATTTCATATTAAAAATGATGACACATCCATTCCAGGGGACAGCAAAACCTATCATAAACATTCTGCAGCACTATATTGCATTAGCGTGTACATGTTTACCTCATAAACCAACCAGTGATTGTGTAGACGTGTCAGACTCATTCATAACACACGGGCGAGCATCATTTGATGACATCATCTCTACTTCTGCCATGTGAGGCTTACGGGGCAGGTTAAGACACGGGTGGGACCACCGGCATGAACCAAAGGGCCGTGCCAGGGCGTGTCCACCACACTGGGCGGGATGCGGGATGAGGTCACGGGATGCACCCACTTGTTTGAATATCTACGGAGGTTGCGTTACCTCTCTAAGGGACGTCAGAGGAAGGAATGGCAGCAAAGTGGCGTTGTCATTCAAGCAATGAGATGGAACCCCTTCCTTTTCCTCGCATTGCATCCTCACCTGCTCCATGATTTCAGCGCGCCATGGCGGCTCCCCACGCTCCCGGGAGTCTTCTTCTTTCCCGTGCGGTATTCCCAACCAGTCTCTTCTTCGTCTTATTCGCGGTTTGTCCCGTTTCCAGATGGGAATCCTTGCCACCGAAAAAAATGACTCCCGCTCTCTTCCGTCGTACACACACACACATTGCTGTTCGTGCCTTTCCCTTGGCTCCTTCCCCCTCCCCCTTTCCCGCTGCAGAGGGTTTGGGCAGCCAATCAGAGGGAAGCAGCGGGAAGGGCGGCCGCCACCTGATTGGCCTGTGCCCGAGTTGTGACTCCCGCTCCAGCTGTCCCGCTCATGCTTCCCTAAAAACCTCTGTTGCCATTGACAACAGAAACCAACACGCTATTGGGTAGATTTACAAGCCCCACCGCCTTTTTCGAGAAGGGGAGGAGGGAATCCTTTGAGAGGGGCATGTCGGGACATGTAGTCTCTTGTATGGCTGCTCGGCCATTATTAGTGAGTGCAGGGGGGGGAAAGTCACACATCCTTCCCAGGGAAACTCCCACGAAGCAAATAACAGGAACTCCACAAGTGAAGGCTGGAGTAGGACGGCACACGCACACACGGACACACACACACACGCGCGCACACACACACACACATACGCACACACACGCGTCAATAAACTTTCCAAGATGGATTGCAACGTAAGTCAAGGGCGCCCAATGTTACCAAAAAAAAGCACCACATCTACCACACGATTTTCATTAGAATCATCTTTATTGAACACAAAATCTCTGATTAATAGTATTATGACAACAAATAAGGTTTGGTGGTAACTGAGTCTTCATGCGTGTGTGAAACTGATAATATAATAAGTGAGTTTAAAACCACCGTATACGCTTCACCGAGAGGCTTCCAACCCGTATTGTGTTGATTCGCCACAAAAAACATGATGGACTAATTCAATCATTCGGGAGAGTCCATCTGTCAGCTTCTGCATGAAGAGGCCTTCATGGTCATCCCACTGGTGGTCGTGACTTATACAGACGAGGCCCATTTACTTCACACGTCACCTGACAACAAACATTATTTGGAAATATTTCATATAGTCTCACAGGTAGTGTTTTAAGGGTACAATCTGCAAAAATATTCAGATTTACGTAATGCCGGTAAACGCAACCTCACCCTCGTCCGGGATGGAGGCATCCCAGATGCAAAGCAAGGGCGCCTCCTCCTCTTGTTCCTTTTCGTCGTCCTCCACGGGACCGCTAACATCCTCACAGCATGTAAATGATGTAGGACAGAAAGACTAGGCCCATGATGGCAAAGAACATTAACACCATAATGTCCACCATGATTGCGATGACGACAAATTGGTCAGCGAGAAGCGAAGCGACCTGGGCGGGAGCAGAAGACTTCGGCTACAGTCGGAAGACTTCGGAAATGGGCAAAGGAAAAATACAATACGGATTTTTTCGCAATGTTAAGCACCGAATTAAGTCAATTGACAGCAGTATTTAAAAATTTAAAACTTCAATTTGTTTATTTAATGTTTTAATATCATTTATGTGCCTCCTTATATTTGGTTGGCTATGAACGTATAATAAGGTTTTTAAGGTCGACACCTGGCAGAACAAACATGGGGCAAATTAAAATATGAACTGAACTGCATTGTAAAAGCCTTCGAATCAGTTTCAACGAATGTGTGCTTGATTACAAAACCACAAGACGCTATGATGAATTATGAAATATTATTACTCCTTTAAATGCTTATTTTATGATGGAGAAACGGTAAAACACCGCTGTCGTGTCATTGCAGGGTAACTGCTCCAGGTGGCGGTAAAGAGACGTAATATATTTCCCCAGAGAAGAAAGACTCACGCCCCTATTCGGGTGGTTTGCAAAAAATGACAGCACACGCTGAGAATTTAGCGTAATGCTACTAACTAGCAGAAGTCCCGTTTGATGAAGACGGGGAGTGCTCGAACCAAGCAATTTCGACCGTCATCTACAGTACTTGATGTACAATAAAACAGTTATGTAAAAGAGTGACAAGGTGGCACTCGAGCCATCACCTGTCATTTAATAGTGTCACTGTCGCCCGGCTCTGTAACAAATAGTTTGAAGTAGAGCCCCTATATATTAAAAAGGGGCCCTATATGCTGTAGCTGAAGGCCCAAAAGTAATCCACTTAAATATCGCATAATGTTGTTTTTCTTCAATTGTGTCCTGACGGACTTTGCATAGTGAAAATTGAGCGAAACCACCTGAGAAAAAAAACATTATTGAATTTACAGAATTATTAATCATAACAGTTTGAAGTGCGGTGACAGGAAGTCATATACAGTCGCTTGAAAGACTGACCACTCTGCAGCCATTCAGTAGCTGACACGCATACAAATAAAGTTCAGAGAAAATAGGTTCACTTGAAGCTTCAGTTTATTGAGCTCTCCGGGCAAAAATCAAGATTACAGTGAATATAAAACATCTGCTTTGAAGAGATGCACACTTGTAATCTTTGTTCAACCAATAAATCATTTTAAATTGAAAAAATAAAGATTGATGAATGTGTGTTATTGATTTGATAGTTGTGGGGGAACAATGTCGCCGTTTGTATGTGCTTGTGAGACTTTGCCCATTGTGTGGGATGTGGAACAATGAAATGGAAAAGAAAACACTCAGATATTTTTCTAAACTTCTTGAATTGAGCAGTTTTTTTTCTTTTTTTCCCCCTCCTCCAGATTTAGAAAAGAAGAGCTCATGAGGAACAGATGATGCTGCCACGAGTTAAAAAAATGCTACTTGGAACATACAAGGGTAAATGATTTGGGGTATTGTTAAAGAGATGTGCTCTAAAATAGTGTGTTGCATTTATGTTTGTTATATCACAGTGTTCCTTGAATTGTTTGATGCTCTGTAATGAAGTCCCTTAATTCTTACACACAGTCAGAGGGAGGTTGTATGTAGTTATTCCTCCGTCACAATGGCAACTTGTTGATCCTGGAAACAGTCCGTGCTGAGAAGTGATACTACTGCTGCTGAGTACCACTCTGCCAATGGGTTATGGGCCCAGAACCCAACAGAAGCCAGGACTCAACAGGAATATTGGAAGCTGTAACGTACCAAGATTCTGGTGAGAATAACTCAGAGTAATGCAAAGGCTAGCGCAATGAGTCGACAAATTACTGAGATGTGTAGCCCCTCAAGTAGACTCGTTTTTGACGGGGATGAGAAAAACTATCAATTGTGAGAGGGTACGTTTTGAGTAGGAGTTGGTGACCCCTGCGTAGGAACTCAAAAGTTTCTAGGTGGAGTGAGCCAAACAGTCTTGAGAAAAATGACTTTTATTGAATCTGCAGAATCCTCAAGTACAGTTTTAAGTGCTGACAGGAGATGATATCAGGTCCTAACATCCGACAATGTCATGTACTTTGTGGCAATATGCATATGCTCTTTATTCCTTAAAAAAAAAAAAAATCATAAAATTATATTTAAAAACAAAACATGGAGCTGCACAAAACTGGTCTGCAAACTTACACCTGTGGGATTACGAGATTCCTAATATGGCGTGTACATATACTGGCAAATTGGAATGACGAGAAGCATGGAATGATGGGTCAGAAGCACAGACGGTGAAGGCTTGGCAGAGGCGAGGACGGATAACTTGGACGAGAGAAAGCGGAAGAGGGGCCCAAAAAAAACATAAAAATGTAATCATGAGTCAGGAATGACATTTGATTCCATCCAAAACGGCAAATTGTGAAACACAGTCGAACGTCTAATCTGAGCAAAAATTTAAAACAGCAGTCATTTAAGTCTCAAAAATTTTTTTTAACACCCTAATTTTAAAAAAAAAAAAATCCTATTACTCCCTCTGACCATATTATAAAACATGCCCTCATCGCAGTGTGTTTGATTAAGAATACTTTCAGAGATGACTACAAAGAAAAACAGTTGTCAAAGTGCTACGTAAAGCCTGACGGATGGATCTAACAACCAATCAAAGCCTATGTCGGGGAACAAATAACGTGTCGGCATGCATTTGATTGCACAATCAAATGCATGCCGACACGTTACTTGTTCTCAGACTTTTTTTTTTTTTTTTTTAAATGACAACCCTCAGCCACAATGTTGGGTTTGAGAACGAGGATAGAGTTTGATCGGAAAATACGTACACAGAAAAATGGTTATTGTACTGCTACACTAGCCTGGAGCTAGCTGCCAGGCAATTACTGTAGTTACAAGGACTTTCCGAAGTAGCGCAAGTCACCAGAAATGTGATAATTCAGGAAACAAAAATTGTGATCTACTCTTTCGCGCTGACAATTCCCCTGTCACAGTGCATGTTTTCAGCATAGGGAAGTAGTTGTGTAAATGGATGCAAAATAAAAAAAAATTGCTGTCATAATGCTACGCAAGCTCGACAGACTGACTTGCCAACATCTCAAACGCTAGTTGACTCCTGACTGGTTGAAAGTGACATTTTTGGGGACAGAGTTTGTATTTTCGGCTGTCATAGTGCTACACTAGCTTGACAGACTGGCCTTTGAACAAAGGAAACGCTGGCTGACATGCTACGAGTTACATTTTCGGGGACTATATTCATATTTATGGTGGTCTTAGTGCTACAGACTTGCCAACCACTAAAACGCTAGCTGACACCGTATTAGCTACAAGTAACACATTTTTTGTGACAAAGTTGGTATTAATAGTCATCGTGGTGCGATGCTTGGTTGGCGGACAGACTTATTGACCAGTGAAATGCTAGCTGAAGAGTTACTAGTAACATTTTTTGTGACCAAGTTCATATTGGTTGTTTTATGCTAGCTTGACATAGCGATTTTACTGACCTACCAACCCGTTCATTTAAACACGAGCTGTTTGCTGTCCCTGACGGCCAAACAAGTTTCTATGATGACCAGTAGGAGGCTGTGCATGCTTAAAATGTTCTGAACTTGCGTATGTAAGTCTAAAAACATGAATTTGACTGATAAAATTAAGACCCCCCACGATTCCTTTTGTCACCATCATACACATAGTAGAAAAATTCCTGACGCACCATGACGTCTATTATGACACAATTGTACAAATGTCAACTAGCTATGTCGTGAGAGCAATGCCAGAAAACTGCACCCCCAAATCAATCACACGCCATTGTCAGAGACTGGTCACACCGATAAATGGTCATAACTACAAATCCAACTAATCATACGCTTGCTGTCAGTTTTCGGGCACCCCATTGATATTAGCTGTTAGCATTCCGCTCAATCCATCCCTTATCCAACTCCCACTACCTTTTTTTTGTTTTGTTTGTTTTTTTGGTTTACATTTTATATAAACTCCTCCACCTTCAGAAATTGCGTTGCTGGTTTATTCATTTAATACACTTGACAATTTTTCCTGTTCAAAATAAACATTTTACAATCACGACAACAAAAAAGGCAAAAAAGAGAAAAGAAAAACAAGCACGAGATAGAAGTGGGTTGGTAAATAAGTCAAAGACATTAATTCACATCTCACAGGAAAATAAAGATTGGAATGTTGTAGCGATGGAATAAAAAGTTTTAAAAGGTGTCACAATACATAGTTGTGCTGTGTTTGCTAATTTTGTAGCGGGGGGATGTCGCATCACGGGAAGCAGAAGTCAGGTGTCTAACATTTTGTTTGTGTGTAGGACTTCCCCATCTTAGCCCTGATCCCTTTTGTGTCTGTCTGACACCAAAACAAAACAAAACAAAACAAAAAAAAAAACTAATGACAACAGCAGGAGCTCAGGATTCCAGTTGAACAACATTACCCAAAATGCAGTGCGTCACATCAGATCTATAAATACATTAAGACTGAAACGCTGTTAGGACGGACAGCTGGCTGATCCGAGGGTTCAGAGATCAAAGGAATGCACAAATGTACAAGTATTCCAGCAACTGAGATTAAATTTATCTTCCAGTCTTGCGGAGGAAACACACGCAACACAAATAAAACACCATCTGTGCGCAATGATTTAGAGGAGACTTTCCATAGATTTTTTTTCCCTTGCATTTTTGCTTCATGTTGCGCTGGGGGGAATGTTAAGTGCTATCGCCAGGATTGAGCTGACTCCCGTAACGCGATGAAGGGGAAGGATGATGAGCGACATCCAAAGAGACAAAACATCAGCACATAGAGACAGAAAAAATTTAAGACAGAAGGCTTGAGGTTAGCGAGCTGAACAGCGAGAAAGGGATCGGCGAAGGGGGGAGCAAATCAAGAGAAGCGGCATTTAAGATGAAATGGCACTGGGCTTTTTTTTTTTCTTTTTTTAAACTCCTTTCCCTCCTTTTCTCTACCTCTTCTTTCTCCTTTCTTCCTCTTTCTCTCCCTCTCAAATTGCCTCCACGTAGTTGGCGGGCAGCATCCCTTGCTGGTTGGTGCGCTCCACGCGGCCGTACATCCAACCCTCGTCGATCTGCTGCACGTCCACGATCACGTCGCCGTCAATGAAGGAGACCTCGTCTTCATCGGCGGCGGCATAGTCGTACACCGCCCGGTACCGTTTCTGTGGACCAAGAAACACTTGGTTCAGACAGTTTACGGCATTTAACTCATTCACTCCCAAAGACGTTTTTAAACGTCTTTTCAGACTTGGTCTCTGGTACTGAATGAGTTAAGGAAAACTTTAGTTTGGGAGCCAGTGCATCGGGGGGTTGGGTCCAAGGGTGACAGAAGACGTACCCCGGCGCTTGGAGGCGGTGCGGCGGCCGCCGGACGCACAGGCTCAGGAGCAGGGTCATAGTGGTAGTTCTGAGGTGCGGCAGAGGGCTGGTAAGCTGCGGCTAAAAACACAATTGTTCGACAAAATGGCCGTTAAGTGTCACGTGAGAGAAGGCTGCGATAGACACTCCGATGTATGGCGACTGGTTTTGTAGCAGGACTACCTGAAGGAGTGTTGCCTGGATGCTGTTGTTGGTGAATCCTGGTCTTCTCAAAGTCCTCCTGGAGGTGTGGAGTCTTGCTCTTCTCAAACTCCTCATGGTACTTGATCTAAAAACAATGGGGGGAAAAAAATAAAATTGAACAATTACAGTCAACAGTCACCAATTTGCAAATCACCAGTTGTGAACAACCAGAGCTTCCCGCACCCTAAAAACCAAATGTGTTTTGATGAAAAATACATGTAATCTTTACACATGAATGTAAATATAATCTTTATACATTAATTACATTCATCATTTTGGTGATGTTTAATTTGCACATTTGATTGTTACATTTTCATGCTTTGATAAAAAAAAAAATTCAATCCATGGTACAAAAACTATGCATTTCCTTTTATAACCACGAGGGGGCTCCCACTTGCAGAACGCAGGCAGGGGAGATGGGTGTGGGGACCTTCACTGAGTGCAGTAACACCTCCAACCTCCAGACGCTGACAGGATGTGACATCTCGCCTGGCAGGAAACCGGGGCGTGTGTCATTGCCTAGCAACCGCCGCTGACACACTGGCGCAAGCAGGTGAGGTGGAGCGAAAGGAGTGCGAAGGGGATGTCCGCCGACTAGAGCAGAACCCCCCACGCCCTTGCCTCTCCCAGACTTTTTTGTGTGGTCAATTTGAAAAAAAGACAACGTCTCACTGATGAAACTAGCCTTCCATGAATAGAGGCCTGTCAACAGACTGACTCACAGCAACCCCGGGTCAAGATTTATGACCCAGCTCTCAGACACTATCAAAGGGTCCACTGTGCTTGGCGGTGGCGGCGTGGAGTCCATTTGCGGTGGTGAGGACAGCAGGCCAAGTGATGGGGGGGAACAATGCTCTCAAGTGCTATATACGCTGCTGCGCGAAAGGCAGATTATGATTTTGTTTTTTTTTTGAGGAGCCGTCTGAACGGATGACTGGGATTAACAGGAAATGTGCTTCTCAGCGGTGGGAAGGGAAGACAATAGAAGAAGCACAAGATGGCAGAGTTTGTGATCGGACGAGCTGGGAGTGATTACAAGCAGATGTGGCGCCTCAATCTCGGCTCGTGTGGCTTTTGTGTGACGTGTAATGTACCTTTTGCCTTGGCCATTAGCCGTCAGCCTCCACTTCTGACTGTCATTACAGGTCGGGAGCTATGTGCGATTCCCGTGGGAATAGTCTATGGAGGAAATGGGGGGTGTGTGTGTGTGTGTGTGTGTGTGTGTGTGTGTGTGTGTGTGTGTGTGTGTGTGTGTGTGTGTGTGTGTGTGTGCATGAGCGCGTCTTTCTACTTCGCTGCTCTTATTTGCAGGCTAATTAATGGCTCTTGATGTGGGGCGCTGAGCGGGAAAAAAAACATCTCACTGATGAAAAAGTACTACAGTGAAACCTAACTATTCAGTTAGTGATGAAGTCCCAACGCAAATAGAAAAAAATGTGCAAGTAATTGATGTCCCATCCATAAAAATATTTATAATGCTCATTCCTATATTAATAGTTGAAAGTAGTCTGGAGTGTACGTTTTTAAGCAGCTCTCTCTTACAAGCTGCTTAGCCAAAGCGATCCGAGACCTTTCTTTGCATCATCTTGATAAGTTTACCACCCTGCTTTCTTTTGAAGGGTGCTCATTAAAAAAATAAATACTTATGAACTGGTGAAAAGGTGATGGCAATGAGTACTGACGAACAGATTAACTATCCTGAGCTAACGTTCACACAACTGCCGCTAGTCACTCCAGGAAGCTCGGGTGTGAGTGGGTATACGCCACGGTGAGAAAACAGAACGTCTTAGGCTGGGGGGGGGGGGGGGGGGGGGGGGGGAATCAAGAGAAAGAAAAAAATGGGAAAATGGGAACCCTGGACACTTACATTGCTGATTTGGTCCTGTGATTTCTTGAGTCTCTGCAGCTCTGGCGTGTCTGTGACCACGGTGAAGGATTTCCCTCTATTCTTTTCGAAATCCTCCTTGTAGAGAACCTAAGTAGAAAAAAAAAACCCTCAAATCATTAGTTGATAAATCAGACAAATGAAATTAATTGCGCAAATTGACGTGCGTGCGCGCGCAGCACCAAGACAAATCCAACAACATTATTCATAGCCACTGACCTACATTCTTCATTGTAAACTTTTTGAACAACCCAGAGGAATGGGATGTTTCTCCTCCAAGTAAATTTATTTGATTTCTATGAACTGGGGACTTTGGGATGACTGGGTTGAAATGTTTAGCATGAAATCAAATTGGCAACCATGTGACAATGGCTGAGCACAGTGTGTTTTGCTTTGTCCTCTTTGGTAACACTCACTTCCTGTTCCGTGGGGGGGAGTGACGGCCATAGGTGGAAACCATATATGGGCATGAGGCGTAGTGTTTTTTCTTTTAGTCATGACTTGGCGGGTTAGGTATTGAGGGTTTTTTCTTCTTTTACCTGATGCATGGCACTCTCTTCACCTGCCCAACATGTGTTGTGAGTCAATGTTTACCGAGTGCATGCCAATGTAAACCATGAGAATTAATTTGCCTGTCATCTGTTTTTGGTCATCTTTTTTTTTATTTATTTTTGGTAAATGTCTCTGGCTCTCGCTCTCTTCCAATCACATTGCTGCTTTCCTTCCACACCCCCCTTCCCACCGTGGCCCCTTTGTGCGCCTTCATTCATATTTCACTGCATATGTATGAATCTCCCCTCGCCCGGGAGATCTTTCGTCTTCACTCGGTGGATGTTACAGTTCCTCTTTCAGCCAGGCTCCTCCCTCCCTTTTTGACACTCAACACCAAAGCCCTGCTGTCTTTCTTCCTCTTTTTTTCTTTCTCCAGCCTCCTCCTCTTTATGTTTCTCCCTTGCACAGTCTCATAATGAGGTGTGATAGCTTCCATAGCACTAAGGTTCCCATAGCAATGGTGTCAGAGCACACGAGCGTCCCCAAATAAACCGTTTTATTCAGCTCGTGATTCTGCGAACGACAAAACACAAGATGACTCACTGTTATTTCTGAATAACGGGCAATTGCTGTTGATGCGTGACTGAAGAGTAAATGGAGCAAAATGTTAATGAGTGCATTTGAAAAAAATCCCAATTTACATATTTTAATTGATCATTTTACTTGTGAAATAACTTCCTGTTCCCCGTCGGACATCACAAAATCATCCTGTGCTGATATTGGCTTGATTCTATGCTCCAACATTTCTCTTAATGCAGTGGTTTGTGGGTCCGGGTAGTACGGTGTTTGCATGTCTGTCTCACAGTTTTGCAGATCAAATTTTCCATAGGCGTGAATATTTGTTTGTCTTCATGCACTGCCCAGTCAGCAGGGAGAGGCTTGGGCTAACTCACGACCCTACTGAGGACGAGCAGTACAGAAAATGGAGGACTTTAAAAGCGAATCGCCACTATTCACAGAGGATACGGACCAAGTACTGCTATGTTTTAGTTTGTATTAGTTTAGTTTTTTTTTTTTAACATATTACGTATTTGTGATGCATTGCAAAAAAAAAAAAAAAAAAAAAGTGAACCAAATATTGTGTAATTTTGTCAACTACGATTCTCAGATGACTGTTTGACCTTTCCAAATTCTGAACCAGGCGAATAGTTCACACTATATGCATGTTGGCGTGCACGGACTGGAACGAGGTTGCATGAATAAAAACACCATCTGTCACTCAGCCCGTCAGCTATTGTGCTCTTCACCCCAGTACTCCAAATCCTCCCCCCCTGCCCCTCCTTAACATGCAGTCTAATCTGTTCTGTTGACACACTCAAAACAAACAAAAATAAAACCACTTCTTTCATGAAACCCTTTTGACTTGATATGTTCAGCAGGCAGCCAAAGCGGGAGCAACACTTTGCCGGGCCATTTCAATTCCCTTTTTGGAGCCATTTTATATGACAACACATGACCTGGTTAAGTCTGGATGGAAACAGTGGGTCCATGTTTCGCTATTAAAACGGCGAGCTGTGATTTCTCGGTTCAAACCGAATATGGCTGCCAGTGACTAATCCAGCAAGCCAGGTTGTAACAATTGTTGGAAGTGATACGATATTGGCGTCAGGAATCAGTTTCACAGAAGGAAGTGGCCTTTAGCATACCGCTCAAGAGAGTGGTCCTTTGAGGGTTAACGCAAGTGCGGCTTTTCGTCGTGTGTTCCCCACAGTTGGAATTGGGACTTGGCCTTACCTGGCTCTGCATCTTGCTCTGCTGTTTGAGACGGATGTTCTCTGGAGTGTCAGCCACGCAGGTGAAGTTTGCCCTGGGGTAGTGTCTGCAAAACACACACCAAAAAAAAAAAAACATACTCAACACTTAAACGGCGAGCAGCCTTTGCCCCCCCCCCCCAAAAAAAAAAAACTGCAGGGCATTTGTTATTCACAGCGGTCATCAAGTTGAGTTAGGAGCCTCCGAAGACCGAAGGCGTGTGTGCATAACACACAATGTGGCGTCAGGGGGAGCGAAGGTAGCCAGAGAGAGAGGAAGTGAGGCTTTTGTGTGTGTTTTGGGGGTAATGGGAACCTCAAGGTTGCAGTTTTGTGGACAAGAATCGTATAGCAGGTGTGTGGGGGGGAATGCAAGGAACACAGAAGCAGGCACATATTCATGGGCGATGGAGCAATGAAAGAAACAGCATGTGACATGAGTATTAATGCTCACAGTACCAGGGAAACTGAGAAAACATTCCGCATTGCACGGAACCGTCAAAAGACAATATTTGCAGGGAGCAAGAATGGAGCATAACCAGAATAATGTCCCCTGTAGTTTTCAGTAGGTGCTCTTTTATCCAAAAGGAGACTGAGGGCGCCATCGTAGCGGAAGGTAAGTAAAGAGTAGCTTTGTGGTCACCAAAAGAAGGCAAAATGGCAGCTCAGCTGAGTCTTAACGTTCAAATGGCAAACGAGAATTGAACTGACTACAACTCCCCGAATGCCTCGGGGGGTTTTCGGGCGACCTGAAATATATGGTGTCAGTGACTGCGCTGGCGGCGGGAAGCCCATTTAAGCCGCCTGTTTACAGCTTCCTTGACAACACGTTCAAAAGAAAATGCGCTGTAATCCTGCTGTGATGAAGGACTGCGTCGGCCATTTTCTTTTTTTTAACAGAAAGACCTCTAAAATAGAAAACATTAGTGTGACCAGGAGACATTGGCATTAAAAAAAAAAAAAAAAAACTCTATTAGCACGAGAAGGCCTAACGCATCCATCCAAAGGGCTGACAATTTTTAGCATGCTAGCTGCATAGATCTTGCGTCGCTGAATGCAGGGGTCCTAATTGGTGTGACAATTAATATATTTATATTCTAATATGAACTACGGGACACATGCGGTCTGCTCCTTTCTTTCATCTGGTACTCGGTAAACTAAGATGCATCGGGTTTTGGTGGATGCACACATTTAGCTTGGTTATTTACGTTTCCGCTGTATGCGCCACATGCATGAATCAGCACAGCGATTGAAAAGCGGCGCTGGGGTTAAACGGTATGAGTAAGTGTTGCCTTGCCCTGTCATCGCTGATGTGTCTTTGCCAACTGTCCTTGCACTAAAAGGGCCAGTCAACTGCTACACGCGCACAAAAATGCACATTGAGATGCTGGAAAAGAGTGCGTGCGTGCGTGCGTGCGTGTGTGTGTGTGTGTGTGTGTGTGTACACTCAACCATGCGTACGTTGTGGCGCGGGTGAGTCACAGGAATGCTCATATGTCAGTCATATTGCGCAACCTAATAATGACTCACATTTAACTGGGTGGCACATGCACAAATGGAGAGCGCAAAAATGGCAGTTGGGAGGGGTAAAGGTTGTGTGTGTGTGTGTGTGTGTGTGTGTGTGTGTGTGTGTGTGTTGAGGTGGCTATGATCGGCACACATGATGGAGATGGTGACATACATGGAGCGGGAGACGCAGTATTCAACTGAACGCCTGGAAACAGCAAAGGGGAAAGAACATCCCACCCAACCCTGTTACGGATCATCTTTTGAGATTTTTTTTTTCCCGTGTACTATCCGCACCCCCCTAAAGTAAATCTGAGCATCCCCTGTGAATATAATATTGAATCCACAGGAAAGAAATACACAGAACATTCAATACGCTTCTGAAAAAGTGACAAACGTGACCATTTCTCCTCCTTTCTGATCTATGTCAGTCAGATTGTAGAATGTCTTTGAAAGATCCTGTGTTGTGGGCCGAAGAGTATTTAACGTGCTCGACCTGCTCGTAAAACAATCGACAATCGTAAACGGTGAACTATAGGGCTGTGCCGGGGTACGACTTGATTTTGACCGGTTTTACGACAAACCGCATGAACGAGAAAGTACGCGCTACACAGCAGCGGGCCGATGAACAAATCATCTAAACGAGTCTGGCGGGTCTGCAATGTCGGTGTTATTTGTACGACTCGCCACGTTTCCTCCTCCCCTTCACATAGTTGGAAGTAGCATTAGCGCTAGCCAGTTTTGCTCACTCCATAGATATAGTATCTGTCGTCTGTATGCCTGCACCCCACTTGAGCAGCAGCGCGCAAGAGCAATCGAGATCATTCTTCAGTGGAAGGCTCGATGATACAGATGTTGTTTACGCTCAAGTGGACTGTTTTAAACAAATGGGAAGCGGCCAAATAAACACGCTGCGAAGGGTTTTGGCTTCTCGTGCCAAACGAGACAAATGGAAGAGGGCGGAAGAAAGCCAAGACAAGGAGAAGCCAGACAAAAAAAAAAAAAGTCCATGCTAGAACAGGTGTTATATAAATCTTCAGAGTTTGAGTGACAGGTGGTATATTAATACAAGAAAACAATATGTTGGGAGACTGAAAAAAAAGTTTATAACCCGAGGCAGGGCAAGTCAAAACTGAATTCTAATAGTAATCCGTTACGCAGTGAGATGTGTTGATGGAGGTGAGCGATAATTAGTAATCAAACCAGATCGTAATCCTCTGAATCGTAAAAGCAACAAATCAGCTCGCGAGAGATTCCCACGTTTTGTCCCATCCTCTGTGACTATTTGTGAAACTCAGTCAAGTGGTACACAAATAGTAAACCTTAGAAGGGGAAGTCAATCCAAAAAGTTCTATGCAGCCCGACTCGTCTAAACGCGGCAAAATAGTAAACCTTAGAAGGGGAAGTCAATCCAAAACGTTCTATGCAGCCCGACTAGTCTAAACGCGGCATTCTGACTAATATTACATTTGTGGAATAAAAGTTAAGCAGTAAAATTCACCCATCTTTGTCCATCTCCGGCGGCGGCCATTTTGCCACTTTCGGCTGACTGAAAATGACACAAAACTTGCTCAGGGAGCGACTCTGAGATGGACAAAAGTGGGTCGATTTCGGCCATTTTGCCACTTGCGGTTGACTGAAAATGACACAAAACTTGCTCAGGGAGCAACTCTGAGATGGACAAAAGTGGGTCGATTTTACTGCTTAACTCTTATTCCACAAAATCAATAATCAGAATGCTGTGTTGAGACTAGTGGGGCTGCATAGAACATCATTGTAAAGAAATGTTGGGGGTTGACTACCCCCTGAAACAAAATTAACATAATACGAATGTAGCAGAAAGCACATGGACGACCACTGCGCTTGCTCCAGTGTGCCTGGGCCGGTGTGTATGCATCAGGCACACCAGCAGACTCGAGCAAAAGTGAACGGCGTCATTGTTAGCGCCATTAGCAACATCTGTGCCGCGCCTGTGCAACAGGCGGGCCAGACACGCGCTGGTCTGTTATAAGCTTCGCCATATGAGGCCATGAGCATAGACGCTGACATTGTGCCGGCGTACTACTGATTTTGACCGGTGTTTTACGACAAAACGCATGGACTAGAAAGTATGAGCTACACAGCAGAGGGGCCTAAAGGAACAAATTATCCTTTGTTTGTTTTGTTCCTTGTCAGGTTACATTCAGTTTTATTAACTCGTTCAATGCACATGTATGTTTGCATGTGTACGTGCACGTGCGTCCCCTCCGCCCTGCAATTTTGTGCGCCTGCACGTGTGTGTCGTCTCCACCCTGCAATTTATGCATATGTTTTGTGTGTGATACAAAATGAAGCAACTGCCCTGATACAAGGGCATACGACATGTCTTGCACAGCATTCTGGTTTCACTTGGCGTGCTTTTGCAAAGGCACTTCCGCTCTGGTGTGGCATTTGCATGAGGTAGACGATATTCGTGTACGTGGCGCGGAGCCTCTTTTGATGGCTGCTTCTTACTTTTAGGTCGACGAAATTGTCCTGCTGCTTTCAGAAACTCCTCTCCTTCGTCAAGGAAGATTTTCTTCCCCAAAAGCAATATTTACAGGGTTAAATTTTTGATTTCTCCATCGATACTGATTTGAATGCACTGTCCACTTATGACACGCTGCTCCACAACTCCGCCCATGCACCCCTCGCCCCCCCAACCACCACTTCTTCTGCAGCATGATCCTGACTGATCCCCTAAACACACCTTGCCACCTGCTGGACAGATTTTAAATATTTACATCGCAGACTTAGAGGAGTCGTCAAATCATTCTGCAAACCAGCGCATTAAGAAAAGAGGAAATGACGTATAAATACATCATGGGTAGGCAGCCGTGGCGGGTTTTCAAGACATATTTATATACACTGAACCAGGAAATAAAAGTTGTTCAATTGAAGCCCATGCCCAATCTTATAATAAGCAGTTTCCACGAAAGTACAGCAATGGAATCGCAATTCAGAAATTGAATTCACTGGCCACAAAATGACTGTTGGATCAAATAAATGCAGAGAGAAGAACATCATTCTAAGGAGAGATTCCGCAGATTCCATATGGGGGATTTAGTGTGTTGCAGCATGAGTGAACAAGCTAGTTAGCGTCGTGTCCTCCTGTGTCACTTGAGAGGAATTTTAAGAATTTCCTTTGTTGACCCGCCCCAACCCACCAAATTCAGCCATTCCTTTCACTGGGGAGGGAGGCACTTTCCCACACCACATATTACTGGACTTTTTCGATCGGGGAGGGAGTGATAGAGTCCCAGACAAACAAGGGTGGAGAGAGGTGCAACAGAGGGGGTGGGGATGGGGGGGGGGGGGGGGAAAGGGGCCTAACGTTGGGTCACGACATGCACAAACACAGCGCATTTAAGATTTAAGACAACTTACGCATTGCAGTATGGTCTCTTGGCAAAACCTTTGTAATTCTTCATGTTTAGAGACATATTGCAGGTCTCGCAGCGGAAGCATCTCGAATGCCAGTACTGTCAGGAGACAAAAAAAAAAAAAAACATGTCAATAAATCGGGGAACATTTCCAAACAAGCGACAAAAGGCTGATTGTAGGCAAAGCTCACAAACTGGTTGAAGAGACAAAGAGGGGGGAAATGTCAAAACTATTTTCAAGAAAATTGCATGGTGGCTGTTTATAGCCGTCGAGGGGCAGGGCTGGCTGCTCTAAAAGCAACACAAAAATGTGCCTCATCTGTATATTTATCCTTCTATACTTGACACACCGCTCAGATTAGTAGGATTGTGAACACCCAAGTGTCTGCCAGGTCGCTGCTAATTAAAATCTTCCACCACACTTGAGCTGTCCTACAAATTCAGATCAAAATGGCGGCCGTGGCAGCATTAGGGAGCATAAACGCCAGGGAATGTCAATATGCAGAGTGTTTCAAAAGTCACTTTGTTACCTTAGATCTCAATAACCGCTATAGAGCTAAGTGAAATTTGCTGAAAGCGATTCACACATCTTAAATTTTTGTACCCAAAAAGTGAACGTGAATGTTTTATTATCTATTTTGGATTAAAAAAAAAAACAAAGATATCTGTAGATATATGGCAAAAATATGAAACGCGACAAGATGACATTTTTGTGTCACATGGCTATGGATTTCGGTTTTGTTGATTGGGCGTCGCTCGTGACTGAAACCACATATTGCTTCTGCCGTAAGCTCAGGACGCCCTGTAACATTTTTTCAGTGACTCTTGTGACATCACTAGCATGGCGTGTAAGGTGCAGGTATTGTTTTTGTCCACTTGGTCGCCATCTTTGAATTCTACTCAAACCTTGACTATTAATTCTATTTCAACAGTAGTTAAAATAAAGTCAGATGTGTTTATATTAATGTATAGTATTGTTTTGTGATCTTTTTTTTTCTGTTCAAAGTATGTGAAAGCGGGAGGGGCGGGGGGAAGTCTTTTTCATATTTGGTGTGATATTGTGAAATCCTGAAACCACTTTTTGGACACCTCGCAGTCGTGCGTTTCGTTCTTGACAGGCCTTATGGGTTGAGGCCAGGAAACCGTCCCTCCCGCTCAACAGTCAAGTCAACCTCTCTCCACCCTTTTCCCTTTCTCCTCTGGCATTGAGCCCGGTCTTCAGCCCGGGGGTGGGGGTCTATGAGGCATGGATGACAGGGCGAACTGGCAAGACAAGGGAGGAAACATGGGGGGAAAAGAGCAAGAGGAAGGGAGGGTCGAACAAGGAAGGAGAGAGAAGGCCGGGAAGGGAGCGACATTGTGGTTATCGTCAAGGGAAGGAAGGGTGGAGGAGGATGAGTATGAGAGGACGAAGGAGAGAAGGAATGGCAAGACCCTCTTGGTCATTATCTCCTCACAAAGCAAGAAATGCTTCAGAGCGTCAGAATGGCTGCCACGGAGGACACAAGGTCCAAATCAACTTCTCCCTCATGTACGCTGGCGCAGCTGGCAATACATCAAGCTGCTGTCGAGTTCCAAAAAGTCAAAGAGAGTGACAAAAGACACAGCAGTTACCCTAGCTTACATTGAATAACTGCAAATGCGGTTCGGGGCTGCTTTAAAGGAGCAGCTTCTTCCCATCTGGAAGTGGCGGACCATTAGGGGCGCCGTGTGCTGACAGTGGGCCGAGTGTCGGGCGTTTTGTTTAATGGTGGTGGACAAGCAAAGACCTTTTGGATGTACAGGAAGTTTCGATTGCTTGCACTTCCTGCTGCCGCGTATGCATTCGCACCATTTTTTTTGTCATCTGTGTAATGAGAAGAAAGACTGTTCCTGGGCCATTGGAACCTCTTAAGTGAAATATTTCAGTTGAAAGGATACCGACCAACCAAAATCATTTTAAATTGCAGCCCATGCGATTTTAAAATGGCATTTTACTACATGATGATTTTGATTTTGATTCAGTTAACTGATCAATGCCAGGAAAAAAAAAAAAACATGACCCAAAATGAACTTAGTTAACGTAACTTCCTCTGTGTATTATTGTCTTTGTAACATCCCTTGCGGCTGTGCTTTTTGTTCCCAAAAGGAGCAAAAACCCAAAGAAAAAGCAAACGCAGACTAATTCCTGGGCCAACTGCTGAACCTGTAGCGATTTGACCTCAAATGTTTTTTGTGTGGCTATAGAGGCATTTTTTTTTTCTTGAAAATGTCAGCCAAATTCGTTGCTCTTTTGGGCGTTCACTTTCAGATGCTGCATTGTATTATATGTTTGTATTGTCCAACTGATTATGGGCAAGCGGCAGTACGTCCTGTACTAAATCACCGACAAATGCAAGCAGTCACAATTACAAATCGCACCTATGGACAACGTAGAGCCTCAGATGAAGCAAAGATGCAAGATTCTGGAATGTGGGAGGAAGCTGGTGTACCAAGGGGAGGGGCATACCGAAAAGGGAACTGATATTCTAAAGTAGAACCTCTTGAAAGTGAGGCAGATGTGCTAACCGCTAAACCGCCGCGCTGCCCAAAATGGTATTATTACATTTATAGATCTGCGCTAAGAAATAGAGCAAGGGAAAGCCATCCTTTGAGCTGAGCTTGAACTTTGGATCTTGCCAAGAACAAACACAGTCCTCGGTTGTACTAGTCTGCTGATAGGTTAATTATTTGTTCAGTGCCACGCAAAAACCTGCTGATCCGCATTCCGCCGAGACAAACCTCGTCCACCTGATGTGACACGCCGCTGATTTACTTCCTCTTGCCACATGGACCGCGAGCTGCACACACACACATTGCGCTAATGGGTTAATTTCACTCAAGCACAACCTGAACTTGAAATGGCACTATGCACATCGACGAGTTCCCTTCCATCTCGCGCCTGTGGTCTTTGTTTTTGCAATGGCCACAAAGCTATTAATTTCAACACACCAAGGAGGGAGAAGTCAGTGTTAAAATTTCACACCCCTGTCCTGGAAATGATGCAGGTGGCACCATGCCTGTACAGAAGCATCCTCAAAAGGTGAGAAACAGCCCACCTGTTACGCTTGGGACAAATATCACAAAAGTCAGGAAAGTCCCTGTTTTGACATCTAGGAGTTGTCACAATCTAATCGCAAGATCGGAATTCGGTCCGGAATTTTCAGATGATCTGTATCGGGTAAAAAGACTTGATTGACAAAACAAGAGACACTAGCCTATTTCAAATGCATGCCATCTATTAGCAAGCATGCTCCCGAAACATCACCATATACGCCATTTCTCAATTTGCGCTTGTGTCCATTCTCACATCTTGGTGCTCTCAAAAAATGTCCTGTTCCAATTCAAAGTACACATAAACCAAGAATCGACATAACACTGGCTTTGACAGCAGTGCGAAATGGGCTTCAACCTATTTGACGTCAGTCGCCACACAGACAGGCATAAAAATGTCACCTTTCACGGTGAGAAATGGCTTTCGGCTGAGATTGTTCTCCGCACACGATAAAGCAAAGAGACTAATGCCTACACTTATGCACCGCCATCACACCCCATTCATTGTGTTCATTTGTTTCCAAACAAAAAGAAGCAAAACAAAGTGTTGACTCAATCCAGGTGGCTGCCATTTTGTACTTTTAAAAAGCACAGCCTAGTCGATCATCAGTTAACGAAAGCGCGACCATGTCGGGAGTTTTTGCTTTACGGCAGACGTGACCTGGCAGTGAGAAGGAAAAATGAGGACACTGCGGAGATGGAGCCCTAGAAACAGCCATTTTAAAAAAAAAAAAAAAAAAAAAATGTCTGCCTGCATCTTCACGGCTCAAGGGCATACGCGTGCGTATGAATAGAGATTACATGCGTTACACTGAATGTGGGTTATATATATGTGTCCACTCATGAGCAAACATGCTCGGTCAAGCTCACAGGAAAAAAGCGTACTCAGTGGACATAGAGGGTGCGACCCCACAATAACAAACCTTGAGGGACTCCAAAGTGGATTTTTATCATTTGGTGGAGTTTTCCCACTCTACCCCAGAGTGTCTGAAAGGTTAAGTCAGTCCAGATTTAATACACGAACGCATAACTTTTTAAAACCTAAACGCATGACTTTTATGCCCCGAATTTAAGACCTTATTAAATGTAAGATTTTTTAAAACCTATTTAGGTAAAGCTCATAAACGTGCTTAGCACGCACATCATACTTCAGAGGATTTAATTAAGGACACGCATGAGGGGGGAATTAGTTCAAAGAATAGAGGAAGGATGGTTTTTGAGACGATATAAATATACATTCCATTTACAAAGCAAGCACCAATGAGAGCCGAGCACGAGCAGACCTGCTTCCTAGTTTTGATGAGGAAGTGGGATCATACATTGACTCAGGTGATGGTCACAGGCTGCCAAATATTCTGAAGTTGCTGTGAGCATCTGGAAAATCGAAGTCATTTTAAAGCAAGCGTTTCAAACTGTTCCCTTGCGTCACTGTTCTCTATAAATGGCATTGACGTGGAAATGTGGAGGGCGAAGGAGATGGTATCGCAGCCGTGATGGGTGACATACTGATTGCTGGCATGGGGTGTCGACAGTGGTGTGATGCTCAACATTTGGTCATCATTTCAGCGTGACTTTTTTTTTTCCTGGAGTTGCTCTTCCACATAAATGGCAGAGACAAGGAATGGGGGGGAATGAAGTGAACCAGGGAATTCTTTTGGATGTAGTAACAGCCGGGACGAGGCCTGCGTGTAAGAGAACACTGTACTTATTATTCTTTCAACAACCTGAGAGTCTTTTTTTTTTTTTTCACCTGTTGCATTGAAAGTAAGTCACGCCCGGTTACAGGTTTCCACGTATACTGCGCTTGGACAAATTGACGGTTTCAAAACCAAAGTGACACAATCCCTCCCATTGTCTCATTGGTGCGAGCACTCAATGAGTTATTCTACCATCTCATTTTTACCCCACCCAGAACTCCTCGACAAATTCAAGGAAACATTATTCTGTTAATAAAACACTGTCTTGAAATGAACATTTTAAACCAGCAACAAGTTGCTCTGTCTATGCTAATATTGCTAACTATAGCTGATAGCATCAGCTCGTTTCTGCTGATGTCACCTCACAAAGTGACTCATTTTCTCAGAAATAAGTAGCAGCACTATCAGTGTTGTACTACAGGGTGTCCCATAAGTCTCCATACATAGAAGAAATAATATATTCTATATGTACATGGTTCTCATTTTTATTTCTTTATATGTCAGATAACTCCGAGAATGCATCTGAATAAAGAACAACGAATTGAAATCCTCCTGATGGCTGGCTCAGCAAGGTTTATGTCAAGAAACATTTATTTTTCTATTGTACGCAGACTTATGGGCCACCCTGTAGCTTTTGATGTTATTTGGGAAAATTCAATTGCTTCATTTTCTTTATACCGTTACTAAGTTAACATATATTGTATGCTAAAAAATAAAATAGATCGGTTAAGATGGAAAAATAAGTATTCATCCAAACATTTCCAAATTAGACTGATACCGTCAAACGGCAACATTTTTTCAGACCAATTCAAAATACCTAATCCTTCACAAATTTGCCTAAATGGTTGCCTACGAGGTAATTGTGAGGAAAACCGCTGCCTTCCTTCCACATTTTACCACAAAATCCCTGTTCGGACACAAAACACGAGCCTTATATTTTACTCCCAATGGGCAGGAACTATCACTGCTAGCAGCAAGGCAAAGGAAAGGAAGAGTTCCTGTCTTTTGGTATGCATGCCCCGGGCAGCTCTGCTTCTGCTGGGCTAGACAGGAATGCAGCTGTCACACAAGTGAGCCTTTGTGGGGACCGCAGCATAGGCGCAAGAAAGGAGGATTTCAGGTAAAGGCTTTTTTTTTTAAGGTGGCCGAAAATAGCAACACAGCAGCAGTAGCAGCAGCAGTTGACTAAACCGGTCACCTGAGCTGACCCTTAAATACAAGCACCAAAGATAAGTGGGGCGGGCTCAAGACCACCGTGTGCAGAGCGCGGAAGCGAAATGGAAGTGAGAGACGAGCGCGGAAGGCTTCTGACAGAGCATGTTTCATGGGAGGGTCCATCTGCCGGGATGTGCTCCACCTCTGGCCAGATTCCACAGCACAGCCTATGAGCAAGCACGCATGACTCCAAATTGTTGTGAGGTGAGACAGACAAAACATTCCCCCCGATCAAATGCATTTGCGGAACACCTTCGTCGAAGTGCAAGACTTCAGATTTATTCTCATTCATCAAATGTGACCACAGCATTGGGTGACATATTATCTACCTTATGAGCAACGTAAAACACCGAACGATTATTTTTGCCTGAAGGGGGACTGAACACATTTGTACATTAATGTGGCATTTGTAAGACCTTTGGCCAGCAGATTTATGGCTAATTAATTTTGAAAAGCCAAATTTAAGACCGCCCAATACCTTTTAAAACACGCGTGGATGCCAAAGGAAGCATATAGTAAACACTGGATGTAAAAAGGCACATACAGCTCATGTTAATGGAGATCGTGCCCAGGTCAACAAAGTGGCCATTGAGAGGGATAGATTTTCAAAAGCAATTCAGACGTCCATTAGACAAATCCTCCAGCTCTGTTGCAAGAAGCAGGCCACACCCACAGCTGGAGTTGCAGCATGCATGCTCTGGCTTGTGTGGGGCCACAAATTGTGCACAAGTCAACACCCTTCTAGAAAAACAAAATACAACAATGTCCAATATGTAAGAACATGCATGACCCCAGGATCTTGCAGTGGTTCCTGTTCCTCATCCTGATGCCCCAGTGGGCAATACGATTGATGAGATTTGCCACTTGAACATGAGATTAATAAACCTCCTCCTTGGGATTAAAAGAGAATCTGAATTCAAATCTTCCCTTACTTTTGGTTTAGGGAGAGGAGGGAGAGTGACAAATTCCAGGTTGAAGGCAGTGGGGCAGCCATTAACAGGAAATGACATTTGAACGGCTATATTTAAATTACAAGGCAGAAAAATGTGTGTGAGCGGGCCATTTGGATTTTAAAACAATGGTATGATAGTTTTAATGTAGAGGTAACATGATATGAGTAATATATAGAAAACAAGGGGAGGACTACATAGGGTTTTCTACTTCCTACTCCCTATGAATATTTAAACTACACTTTATAGATATCTTCTTTTCATTTTTATGTCTGTGTGTTCATACAAATTGTTCAATCAAGTAATAAATCGCTCATAAATTGCTATCAAAGTGCAGGGCTTGCCCAGACCCGGGCTTGTTTGTTGTTTCCCCATAAAAAAATGCAAAGGTTTTATCACAAGAAAGACGATCAGTGCCCTTCTCCAAAAGTACAACAAAATAACAAGCACTGTGTACTGATCCTGCAGTGCTTGTTATTTTTTTTCTCACACTGATACGCCACTAGATTTCACAATTGATGAGATTTTGCCACCTGAGTGTGAGATTAACACTCCTGTATGGGATTGAAAACGAATCTCGACAAGATAATCATCTATGGGATTAACGAGGGGAGGGAGTGTGACACGTCCCACAATGGATCCCAAAACGCCAGCGGATGGCAGAAAGGAAGCCCCTGACAGCAAACGACCACATTGTAATTGTTCAACCGTGAATAAAATTGTCTTAAACTAGAAGTGGGTGTGAAATTTGGCGTTTAAAACGATGACGTAACGTTTTCGAGAGTCGCTATCAAGGTGCAGGCCCGAGCCAGGCTCGTGCTCGTGTGCTGTTTCACACTTTACGATGCCGAAAAGGTTTAAAATCAAGGAGGAAAATATCACTAAATCATATTTTGGCAGCCACGTTCGAAATTAGATCTCAAACCAATGGGTGTTACCATGGATAGCCGTTAGCTCGCCATACTAGCCATACCTGTGCGTCCCCTTCAGGGTTCTGGCTACTCGTTTCATTCACAAAAAAAAAAAAAAAAAAAATCCGGAAGGTGTCTCCCTTTTACAGCTCAAAAAAACCCCAAGCCTAAATGGAGTGACTGAACATTGGTTATTTATTAACACAAAAGTGACCATTAAAAGGATTTCAGTGCGCTTACCTTGTCCAGACAATTGATTTTTTCCGTGGGGTAGACGACGAGATTACATCTGCTACACAGCGGATTCATGTCGGAGGAATGCTCGTCTTTAGCAAAGCTAGCACAGGAACCGACGACGAAACGAGCCCTTTTCTGTCTTCCTCTTCCTCTCTTCTCTCTCCTTGAGCTTTATTCGCCTCCCAAACGCGCACTGGAGGAGTGGAGCGTTAAATGTTGGAGGGCAGTGGATTCGCAGCTGTTCTTGTCGTCGTCGTGTAGCCGCACAGCTGGCTGTCAGTAGCCCACACTGGGTGCGCGAAG